TTTTCTTTAGTCAAAGCAAACCCTTTAATAGCATTTAATGCAATTCCACCCAGTAAACTCTTTAAATAAGTAAATTTTTGTATCTCAGTTAAACTTTCGTTTTCATGGATCGCGATTTCAAATTGATTCCAAAATTCAAGCCATAATGTTGTTTCTCCGTAAAATTTGTTTATGGTTAGTTTTGGGAGTTTAACTGCATTACTTATTTCTGGTACAAATTTAGATTGTGCGCTGTTAAATGATTCTTCTCCTCCTCTACTTTCTTTATTGTTTTCTTTCAAAAATCTTGCGATTCTAGATTGCCACTTTATTATTTTTTCCGAATATTCTTCAATTCCAGTAATTTCATTTTCTATTTCCTCACTTTCAATTAGTGGTTCAATTCGATTATTTATTGCTTTTAAACTTTTATTTTTATCAATTAACTGTTCCTTACAATCTATTAATTCCTCGATTTTTTCTTTAGATTCCACATTATCATCATTTATTAAATTTTCAATTTTTGTTATCAATCGAGTTGTTCAAGAGCGAATTGTTTTTCTTTTATTTTTCAAATCATCGTATGAATCCATTATTTAAATCAAGTGCACTCACCTTTAATCAAATTCTTAGCTCCAGGTTGGTGCGCCAATATTAAATACGGTGATATTGATCTCAGATCTCGGGGTTTCAATCATAACAAACGCCTTTTAACATAATATATATTTAATAACAAAAGGATGATGATAATGGTACAGTGTCATGGAGGAAACTGATTAGAAACTAATGATTTTACATTACTGCGCAGAGCGCCATCTATTGAGCTTTAGAAATTATAATTAATAAGGAGAAATATTATTAACATCCCCTCTGCAGAGGATCAAAAATGTGATGGCATGTCTTCGGATCATCCTCAGGGATGCTTCCCAGACCGTCACCAATAGCCCATTGTGCAGCTCTAGTGTGACGTAAATGAACTACAACAACAACAATTAGAAGAATTAAAAATTGAATAAATATTTCCAACATCGATTATTCAGTTTTTATTCATATATTTTATTATTAGCATTTAACAAGTTGGGCATGTTGTCTATTTGTGTTATTATGATTTTATTTAAATTTTTCTAGTAATTTTAAATTCATGTAAGTATGATATTATAATGTTGAATATGAACAATAAGCATGCGCAGGTTTTTCATCCGACCAATCAGTAACATTCAAGAACTTGAATAGTGTCGGCGAATCATCCAATTTCTTGGAGATAGAAATTTCTCAAATTTCTCGGGTTCAAGAACTTAGGCCGTGTAAACAGGCCTTTATTCTATGGATGGTTGAGTGAATGTAAACAACAACAAAAGCTTCAGAAAACCGGACGAAATGTAAAAAAACTTTTGGTGTATTCCTCCGCTTATGTTACGTCTACGAGGTGATGTGTGAACAAGCTTAATATTCCAAGAAGTTTTCTTATTGCAATTTGTGTTTAAATTTATGCATAATTTTACCATTCATAAGAGTTTTCCGTAATTCATAAATTCTAAAAGGTTGTGTGCCTGAAACAAATTTAAGAAAATTAATATCACAACATAAATAAAGTATAAGGTTCACCATTTTTTGAAAGTTATCCTTTATTTTGCTATATTAGTTGTTGTAGTTCATTAGCGTAGCACTAGAGCTGCACAATGGACTATTGGCGTCGGTCTGAGAAACATCCCTGAGGATGATCCGAAGACATGCCATCACAATTTTTATCCTCTGCAGAAGGGATGGCACCCCAGCTTCGGTAGCCCGGCGACCTGCACGCGGAGTCGAGCACTTTAGGGTAGAACAGCTTAACGAGGACCAGTATCGCACACCCTCGGTCCCTACGCAGACTGATCCAAGTGGTCACCTGCCAGCACACTGACCGCAGCCAATGATGCTTGACTTCGGTGATCTGCAGGGAACCGTTTCTTAACGATCAGCCCACTGCGGGATATAATAGTGTACAATGTCATTGTTTGTCATTTTTTGGATAGAATCGTAGCATGCTTGTGGAGTTTTCTAAATCCATTTGTTGTTTGTTTCGCTGAAATTTAAATTGGAAGAATGCGTTATAATGTAAAGCACTACAATTATAATAATATTGGATTTCCCGTTTTTACCAACTCCGGCGTAAAAATCAATCGAAAGTAGTAACACAGAAGTCTTTTAGCGAATTTAACTGCTAACGCTATCTGTGCTCCTCTGTGTGACCCTCCACTTTGGTCACCTCTGGTTAGTATACAACAATGCGAGACAAGTATCTCTGATTATGGTCATGGATATAAAAGGAGCCGGTCGAAGTTGTCTGAATCGCAATTAGCGAAATAGCATTTTTGACGCCAAGAGAAGGTTTTCTTGTTGTAGTTGTAGTTCATTTACATCTCTGAGGATGATCCGAAGACATGCCATCACAATTTTGATCCTCTGCAGAGGGGATGGCACCCCCGCTTCGGTAGCCGACGACCAAAGGTTTTCTTATTTATTTATTATAAATTATTTCAATTATGACAGGCATAGGCAGTCAAAAACGTTCCAAGTTGTCAGAGAGCTCTAAGCAACATTATTGCCGTTTTAATTTTGCCCTGAACTTACAACATATTGTATTGTTGAACAACCAGAAGAATTGGAATTATTATTATTAAGCACGATGGATTTTAATAAACCAGTGGTAAAGTATCTGTTTGTTTTAAACATTGAGACAACCGAATCTAAATATGCATTAGAATTTCTTTTGTTTTTACTAGTTCGTTTTTCGGTTCCATCCTTCTATTTATAAATATAAAAGCTGCTTAATTAATTGTTAAATGTTTTCATTAACAATACTCAATGAAATAAAACCTGTGGCTTCTTGTCATATAAACAGGAGAAAAATTATTTTATTGATTACCATATTTTGAGAACTCATACTTTACTTTTTAAATATACTTATTTGTATTTTAACTAAACCATATATTAACCAATACTTATTTGTATTTTAGCTAAACCATATATAAACCATTTTTTTCTTTTAGCTAGTTTTTTTTTCATTGAGTAGAGTAATGTAAAGTAAACATTTAATATGAAACAAAATGAAAGTTATTGTGTTTTTAATGATCAAGTTAAATGAGTATGTCTAATCATCTAATTAATACTAAAGAGCCTTCTTTTGATTTTTTTTTGCAAAATGTCTCAAATATTTTAACAGTTGAGAAAAAGATTAAAAATAAATTTAAACATTATTAAAATTTGTGAATAAAGAACTCACATTATAAACAGATCTGGTGTCATTAATAATTATATAAACTAGAATTACATTCCTTAACGTGATCTGCCACGCCATCTACAATCGTCAAGGTGCCAAATTGATTTTCAAAATATTTTACCTAAAATTATGGTGTTCTATTAAAATTATTGTGTTTTTTCAAAAAATGAAAGAAAAAACATAATTTCTGGAGCAAATTCTCTTTTAAACTTCTGTGATTTCAGAATTTTTGTTATTATTTTTTTATCAATTTAAAAATATAGCTGAGGCAAACCAGTCATTGGCGAAATTTCTTTTATTCGGAAATGAGAACAGAACAATCGGTAGTTTTTCTTTCCCTTCCGATAAACAAGAAAAGTATCTTTAGAATATAATTCTGCCAAAAAAAAGAAAAAAAATTTATTCGCTTTTGTACTTTTTTCAGCTATTTTATTGCTTTTACTCTCTTATTACTCTGTTTTCTAAGTATGAAGATGCACAGTATAACATTGGTTATACCTATCATAATGTTATTATAATGCTTTTTCAAATTTATTATTGTTTTCTCTGAAGAATTAGTCATGGAAAATCATGAATTTGAAAATCTAAAGTGTAGAAGATACCCTGCAAATACCCAAACCTGAAAATAAATTTTAAAAAGTCAGAGCTTTTATTTTTAAAAGCATGGGTTTTTAAACCCCAATTACTACTGAAGTAGTGCAAAGAAATGTTAGAATTAACATAATGATTTACATGCTAACAATAGTTTTTAATTTGCTTTTTAGTTTTCTCTGTTTGACTAACTTATGAATTTTAGTTAAAGACACTCAGGAAAGAATTTGATATAATGTATTTTACATAGTTGATCAAAATTTAAATTATTTTTGTGATTTTTCCCCCCTTCCTATAGGATGTTTTAGCATTTGATTGGGATGATTCTGAATTAATTGAAGCATATGATAAAGCTATGGAGGAGTCTGTAAGAAAATTTTATTAGCTCATTTATATTATTGCTGATTTTATTTCAATTTATATTTTTATTATAGTGTTCACACGATCACACAAAATTATAAAAGGATCGACAAGTTGGAGACCACTTAGTATTGCCAGAAAATAATCTTTAATGATTGAAGGCATGAAATGTTGGAAGCTGAAGCTTTGGCTGTTGCACATATTGAGCTTTAGCGTTGAATGCTTAATGTGTCTTTTATATAATATTGCACTTAATATTTTTTACTATCCTTAGTTTTGTGCAACATTTTCAGCTTTATATTACAGTTTTACTGTATTTTTTTCATTTTATATCAATTATATTTATTTTTGCTTTGCACTCGTATTGCTTTATAAGCAGATATTTAATATAAAATGTTAAAAGATTTTGATAATTCTCTGCATGTTTATAATCTTACCAATTCCTAAGAAATTAGTTGAAATTTGCTAGATTTATGTATATATTTTNTCAATTATATTTATTTTTGCTTTGCACTCGTATTGCTTTAAATGCAGATATTTAATATAAAATGTTAAAAGATTTTGATAATTCTCTGCATGTTTATAATCTTACCAATTCCTAAGAAATTAGTTGAAATTTGCTTAAAATTTGCTAGATTTATGTATATGTTTTTTAAAAAACTGAAATATTATGAGTATACAGATATCTCCCTAAAATAAAAAATGGTACTTTTTCAAAAACCAGGGTACCTTCAGTTTTTGAAGGGCACTAATCTTGAAAATTACATTGAGATAGATTACAGTAACTTTCAAAATACTCAAATATGAGAAATAAGTTTAGTCTAAAAATAATTTTCAGAAGTTATGGCTAGTTCCTGTTACTGCAATAAAAAGAGCATTTCATTAAGAAAAGTAAAATGGGAGACAAAATTCTTTACAAAAAGGGCATTTATCTCTGTTAAAAGGATGGGCCATCATCCTCAAACATTGCGATGAGAACACTTTAATATAGTTATTTTATAAACAATAATTTAAGAAATCTCTCAAGGATGCCCACTACTGGAACATCTGCTCTAGTATATAATAAAAATTATAAGCATACTTGAAGTTGAAAATAAGCATGTTAAAAGTTGAAAACAAGCATAAAAATTATATGCTTGTTTTCAACTTTTTCTAAGTTTCATAGATAAAAATCATTAAACAATGTGTTTCGTGTAATACTTATAGCTTAATTTTAAAACAACCTAGGTTGTTTATATAGTTATCAGCTAAATACAATGTAATGTAACTCTTGTTGTTTTTTTGCAACATTCAAATGAAATAGAAATTATATTAATTTTTTTGAAGGGTTTCTGATTCCAAGGTTTCAATATTAATACTTATAAACTAAAAAATAATTTAAGAAACATTATTTTATGTAATAATAACAGTAATTCATTTAAAGAATATTCAGAACACAAATTGCTCTAGACCGAATCATAGCTTATTATCCAGTCAGGCCAAAGCTTTGTTTCATCAATTGTTCATAAGACCAGCAAATCGATTTTACAATTCAAGCACGAACATGAAAGCAAGAAACTGGCTATTTTTCTTTTTTTCAGTGACTGGAAATGCAATTATTGTGCAAGTTAATCATATTTGTCAAATATATAAGTTGACTGTTATAATTAGATAGAAATGTCAGCCAAATATTACATCCATTACCAACTTTATGTTATGATAATTTTTGAAATACAATGTCATTATTAAAGAAGATAATACAGTAAAACCTGTCTATAACGATACTGTAGGGACCTAAATAAAATATTGTTATAGGCAGGTTATCGTTATAGACAGGTTTGAAATTTAAAAGTATACGTTTAAAACTAATGATAAATTAAACTTCTTTTATAGGCTCCAAATGAAAATTTTACTTAGAATTATGAAACAGCACACAAGAAAAATTTACTTACAATTTTATGAATCAAAACAGAAATTATTTAGAAAAATAATCGGTTAGTTTTGTTTGCTTATTTTTGGAAGCAATTGCCATTTCCATGCACATAGATTTCAGTCCATCTAATGAATTCAAATGAACATCAGTTACATTTGGTAATGTTGCAACAAAATCTTGCAAAGTGTTAATTAGCAATATGGCATTCTCGGGTGAAATTTGAGTCCTGTTTTGAGAACAGTCAGCTGCTTCTTCCTCATCACTTTGATCACCCGGGATAACTTCTGCTAAAATCTCTTCATCACTTGCACCACTGAAAACCAACACATCATTATCTAAATTTAAAAATTCATCTGCGTTAAATAGAAATGATGTATTAGATGATCTTTGGAAATCACTGACAATCGAATTTAAGCCTGCCACACATTTTTCTTCTTCATCAGTGATTTCAGTAAGCTCAGTTTCTGCGTTTCCGTTGCTTTTATCCTCAAAGAAAGAAGCTTTCTTCCAACAATTTTGGATGGTGGATTGTGTCAATGAATTCCACCCTCCGGAAATCCAATCACATGCATTTTTTACATCAACTGCATAAGGATTTGGGAGTTTATTATCCAGATTATAAACAACGTTCTGAACTAATCTTTTTCGATAGTATCCTTTGAAACATTTTATTATTCCCAAATCTAATGGCTGTAGAATCGACGTGCAATTTGGGGGAAAATAAAACAATTTTATATTTTTCAAACTTGGAGGATTGTTGTGAGGAGTGCAGTTGTCAACTAAGAGAGCTATTTTTTTCTTCTTTCTTTTCATCTCCTTATCCACATCAAGCAGCCAGTTGTTAAATATTTCTTCTGTCATCCAGGCTCTTTTGTTTGCCTTGTAGTCAACTGGTAAACTTTTCACATTCTTAAAACATCTAGGTTTAGCGTATTTGCCTATAACGAACGGCTTCAGTTTATCGGTTCCAGTACTGTTTGCACAAAGTAGAACAGTTAACCTCTGTTTTGATTTTTTACCGCCTTTACAATTTTCTCCCTTAAATGCCATTGTTTTATCTGGCATGAGCTGATAAAATAAGCCAGTTTCATCAGCATTGCACACGTTTTCTGGAGAATAAGTTTTTTTAATAGTCTCTTTTTCTCGTTGCTTCCAGGATGCAACATCATTGACTGGAGCTGACTTTTCTTCACCTGAGATGGTTTTAAAAACAATACCATGACGTTCTCGAAATGATGTAATCCACCCATTGCTGGCTTTAAACTCGTTGTTGCCTAGCAAAGACGCAAATGTTCTTGCTTTTTCTGCAATCATTGGACCACTAATTGGCACATTTTGTTGTCTCATTTCGTGGAACCATCTTAGGGTAGCTTTGTCTACATCCTCATTAACTGCACCTTTAAATCTTTTCCTTTTACCATCAATTTTGCTTCCTTCCACAGCATCTTCGATATCTTTTCTTTTCTTCAAAAAAGTAGCTATTGTTGATTGTGAAATCCCATATTTCTTAGCAGCGTCAACTTGCTTCAATCCTTGATCAATTTCCGATATGATATTTAATTTTTCTTCAAAAGATAATGCTTTACGCCGAGCCATCACTTCAAAATTAAAATTAACTTTATTGCAAGGAAAACATGCCAGTCCGTAGTGAGTAACGATAAGGACTTACTTATGAATGAGAAGATTTGAAAGTGACCATTCTGAAAAAAGAGCGCCCCCTTGCAACTTGTCTCCTTTCCACAGCTAATGAATGGTGAGGAAAGCAAGACGATTGACCTTCGGAGTGTTCTTTTTAAAGCAGGGATATCATCATTGGCGAGAAACTCCCTCTCCCCCCCACCTAAGGCGGACCACACATTGACGAGACATCGATGCGTGTCGCTGGCGCATCGATGTCTCGTCAGTGTGTCACCCGTTTTTCTGACGAAGCTCTCTCCCTCCTACAATACCCCTTCACCCATTTCTACAGCTCTAATTTTCCCTAAAAGTGGCTTTTTTTCTCAGAAACAACGAAAGAATATTACATACAAAGGGGATTGAAAAAAAAAAACATTTTGTTATCTCACATTTAGGCTCGATGGGGAGTCGTTTTCCAACGGCAGAAAAATCGGAATAGAACTATCAACTATCAAAAGAGGAAAAATTATCGTTGTAGACATGTTTAACTGAAAAGTGGTTATCGCTATAAACAGGCTAAAAATACATTGAGTAAATAGGAATTTCACCGGGACCTCAAGCAAATATCGCTATAGACAGGTTTATCGTTATAGACAGTATCGTTATACACAGGTTTCACTGTATCAGAAGTTTTGCATATATATGTATATATCTTCATATAAACTACTAATGTAATGTGTAATAATGAAGACTACTAATGTTCAACTCCATAGCCTTGTAATTTTGAACCCAATCCAGAGGACAAGGAAACTCCTGGATCAGGTATTGCCTTAGGAAATTTGCCTTTGTGGAGCACTTTTTGATGGAATTTACCAACATTTACATTACATGGAGAGGAAGACCACGAGAACCTCCCTCGGTTAGCCTGACTGTAAAACTCTAACTCATGATCCATCTACCACTGAGGACATTTCACATTAACACTGTGGTTGGTGCCAGCTGGATACATATTCGTATCGGCCAATGATCGGTGGAATTCGAACCCGGTTCACCTCATTGGAAAGCGAACGCTCTATCCCCTGAGCCATTACGGCTCACATTCTTTGTATTGAAATTTTCATTTAAATTTACTTTTTTATTATAAAAAAAATGGTTTAAACCAGAGGGGGTAGTAATAAACTTTTGACAAATTGCTAGAAATTTTTTTTAAATAGAGTTGTGCTTCTATCTAAATTTAATAGTTGATAAATTTAAATTTTATTATAATAATCTTATTTACATTTGTCTAATTTATTTTAAAAGACCCTTATTTTATAAGTGTTTTAAACTGTTAAGGTTCTGATTTTTTTTCTGTCGTGTTTGTCTATCTGGTTTCTCAAGATGCTGATTTTTTATTTTTTTGCATTAGCCTTTCATTCTGTATTCTTCTTATTACCAGTTTGTCATTTTTTTTAAGTATTGTACTTGAATAAATTTTATATATTTTTTAACATTTGCCTGTATCTAGTTTGTTCTCTTAATTTAGTTTTGTTTTAAAACAAAGTTTTGATTTTAGGAAAAAGCAGCTAAGGCTAAAAAGGGCAAGAACAAGAAGGCTAATAAAGAGAATGTGAAAGAGGAAATTGCAGGGAAAAAAGTAAGCATGTTATAATGGTAATAAAAATGGAAAAGGAATTTTCTTAGTGAAATAAATTATTAATAGTTTAATAAACTAACCTCCATGTCTTTAAAATATTTATTCAAATAAGTTTTTGTAGTAATAAATTGTGTTTGCTATAATATTGAAACTGGGCATTTTTCTCTTTTTATCATTTTTTTCCTTCGTTTAAATTGGAAAAAACTAGCCACATTCTAAAATATTTACAACTTAATTACTTTTCATAATTTTGTCTCGTTTTATTTTAATTTTTTTATCTGTACTCACAAACTAAATGTACTAATACTAATTCTCTAAGCTGATAATAGAGCATTTTACGTGAATCGATGTTGGTTTTTAATCACTAATATAATGACTTATATGATTCCATTAATAAACTAAATTACATTGATTTTAAGTTTTCATTGATGCCTTTTTGCTTTTTAGCCAGTTTCCACTTCATCCCAGATAACATTGGGTACCATTTCTTATAATTCTAATTCTAAACATTATTTTATTTAATCACATTTTCGTGAGCTCAATTTTTGCTGATTTCATTGTAAACTTAAATTTAATTTTTGTCAGCTGTCATTTTTTGGCAATTTATACATGGATTTGCAATTTTCAATATTTTTAAAGCTATGTTATACTTCAAAGGAATTTGAATTTAAGTAGACAATTCCGAGGTTTAACAGTGGCGCCTATTTCTGCATTTTTCAATTTTTTTTCTTTTTTTTTTAAGTTTTCATATTATTAGTTTAATATTGTGCTTCTTGAACTTCCAATTAGAGCAATGACTTATTAATATACTCAAATTGGGACAATTACTTTGTAAATCAGAATGTTTTCTAATCACTTCCACATAGTTTTTTTTTTAATTCTCTTGATTTTAATTTATTTTGTCGTTGAATCTGGAATTATAATAATCACTTTATGGCACAACTGATTTCCTATTCTTTATTTTTGATATACTTCGCTTACGACGGCTCTTCCAGCAGATAGGTTTTTTACCCCCATTTCTACAAGATTTTTTCAAATTGAATATTTTCACATAGTATTTTTGATGCTAGAAATGGTCTCACACACTAGATATAGTTTAGTCATAATAAGATATTGTATTATGGGTGGATGTGCATAATATGTGAGACCGTGGAAATACCATTCACAGAGAATTAGTTACCATAATGGAAGAAATTTATACAGAGTTCTCCTTAAGAATGAAAGAAGGCAGACGGCTTCCTCTTTGCAAAGGGCATTTTGAGTTTGGTTATAATATTTTTCTGTGATAAAATATATTGAAATAATTCAATTTCAATACTCTTTATTTTTGTATTATTATCTATTGTAAAATGAGTAGCTCAAGAGAAGGCAAGATTATTTAAGTGTAGAAGAATTGATAAGTGATTGTTATAAAATAAATTCTTAATTTTTCATTCAAATGCTTTTGAGTAAACATTTCTCTTACAAAGAAAAGTCAAGATGAAAGAAAACAAAATAAATCAACTCTTTTTTTTCTTTTATCTCCATAAAACTGGTAATGTATAAGAAAAAAATAGGCTGATGTGTTTATTGCATATATACTATATCAATATAGATTTTTTAAAATGATTTTCAAATAAATTTGGTCGATGGTGATGAAAAGGTTTAAACTAATTACAAGAGTTAAGGAATTGCTTGACGAAAGATTTTTAACTAAGGTTTTGTGTTCACAGTAAGATTTTCATTTTATTTAAGTCTCTCTAAGAATTTATAAAATTTCAAAAAGTGGTGTCAGAAATTAAACAAATGTTGATAATTTAATACCTTTTACAATTATATTTGTATTTGTTCATGAAAATTCTAAGCTGCAAAATCTATAAGTAACTAAATGATTTCATGAAAAAAAAAAATTTCCAATATTAATGCAAATCTACAAGTTCATAACAATCGTGCTACAGGCCAAAGAAACAAAAATCGAAAATACATAATGAGGAATTCAATCTTAATGGTGAATTCATAATACATAATGGAGAATTTAATCTTGTAAAATTTGATATTGTTATTAAAGTGAAATATTTGTTGCTGCAATTCTCAAAGTATTTTCCAAAAGCAAATATGTCGTACATATTCACAGTTGCCTACTCTACTGGATTTTTCAGTAGACTACTGAATTTTATTAGTTTCTTTTCTACTAATTTAATCAAATTCTTCTGGCTTTTGTATGTTAGAAAATTCCTTTATTTACTTGTGCTTTTAAATTTATTGTTACTGTTAACCAATAAGCAAACTTTATTGAATAATCAGTTTAAAGCTTCTTTTTTTTTTTAATGTTCTTAAATGATCAGTTTTGGCAAAATTTTCAATAAGTTTAAAAAAAAAAAAAAATTATTACTATCTGTATTGAATTAAAAATCTATTACTTTTCACGGTTGTGTGTTCAAAAATAAAGTGAACATAAGAAAAACATTGTGTAATTAAGTTTATTTGATGTCTATATTAATTGTAGAATATTTTAATCAATTTAAATTGATAGTTATTAGTGTAATAAAGTTGTACTTTGTTTGCTGCAAAAATATGTAGTACATAATGCAATAGCTATGATGAACTTTGTAAAATCAACTGATTTATTTGTTCTTTGCATCTGTGCTATACCTCTTCTGATTTTATGCTCTTTGAAAATTTAATCTGCTTAATATTTTATTATTTATTTTTTAATGAAGTACTAAACAGACTAATTGACAATCTTTTTTGTAATTACAGTTTACAAATTTAGTATCAGCAGTTTAGTAATCTGAAATAATTTTCATTACATTAGTTTTTTTTTTCTTCTTTTCAACAAACTATTCTTTTACACTGTATGAAGTAGTTTTGTGGGACAATATCATAGCTCAACAGACTTGGCTTTAAGATCTCTAACCTAATTCCTTTAAAAAATTAAAACTCACTAATGAAATAAAATTTTAAAAAAATTATTAATACAGCATGGTAATGTTTTTTCTGTTTTTTAATATATTGAAGAAAAAAAGTTGTCATTAAAAAGAATTGTCTGTTTAGACAAAACTAATTTCCAAAGTAATGATATGTTATGTTCAATTAAGAGAAACAAAGATTTTTTTTCCTTTTAAATTTAAGATGTAAGCAAGTAGAGTTATCATAATTGCTCAAAGGAAAGTTGCTATATTTTTTATTTAATAATTTTAGTGCATTTCAGAACTTGCTGTAATGAATTAACATGTGCCATTTATATTCAAGTACGAGTTTACTTTTAGTTTGAATTCTACTCTAATTAATTAAATGTTAATTTTGTAATTTATATATTACAAGCTTCAGTGATTTCAGAATTTTTATTCTTTTTTTTTTTTCATTTTATCAATTTAAAATTCTAGTTGCAGCAAGCCAGTCATTGGCGAACTTTTAATTCCGAAATGAGTACAGAAAAATCAGGAGTATTTCTTTCCTTTCCGATGATGGAACAAGAAAAGTATCTTTAGAAGTAATTCTACAGAAAGAAAAAAAGGAAAAGAAATTATTTGCTATGCATTTTTTACAGCTATTTTATTGCTTCAACTCTTTCTTTACTCTGTTTATTTAAATTTAAAGTCTATAAATATATAGTGCATAGTATAACAGTTTAAGTTATACATATCATTTCAATTAATATTATTATAATGCTTTTTTAAATTGCTTTTGTCGGGGAAAATAGTAACTTCATTAAGTCATGAAAAATTCTTGGAATTAGTCATGGATTTGAATATCTAAAATGTAACAGATACCCTGTATAACAGTTTTTTTAATTATCATAAACCAAGTTTCTCACGTCTTAAATTTTAGCCTCATGCAAAAATTTTGCGCATTGTCGTATAATAGTTAATAATTTAACTTATATCCGGTTATGTTGATAATTAGTGTAGCATTTTTTAATGATTATTTGTTCCTTATTTATATTATTTAGTGCTATTTAAATTCATATGAGCATAAATGCTTTAAAGTGTGGATCAAGTTTTAATAGTGTATTTTCTAATTTAACTTAAATCTGATTTTTATTATTTTTGTCATGTTTACATTTATGCACATTAAAAATAATTAATACATGTTTAAACACATTTTAATGATATTTTGTAATAGTTTTTCGTAACTTTTTATAATAGTGGCGAATTGGAAATTATTGCCGTGCCATATTCCCTGAAGATGGATCATATTATGAGGCAATTATTCTTGATGTTCAAGACAAGTTGTGCGCAGTTGAGTTCTTGGGCTATGGTGATTATCATGAAGTACCTCTTGATGGCTTGCTAGAGAGTCTTGGGAAAAAAGCTAGGCAGAAACAGCGCAAGAGTGTTAAGAAATCGGGAGTTTCTACCTGCACTGTAAGTTTTTTCTTAATTTTTCTTTTAAGTACAAAAAGGATATTTAAAGTAATATATTTTATTTATGATATTCTAATATGTTTCAAAACTTTAACTTCATACACTTCAAAATAATAAGATTTAATATTTCTGTCTGAATGAAAATGCAAAATTAGAAAAAAATAATTTGTTAAAATCAACATTTCATTGTTATTTTCTTATGCTTTAGAGCAGAGGTCGCCAAAGTGGTCTATATAGACCCCCAGGGGTCTAGTTAACAAAAGTGGGGGTCGATCTGAGCCTGGGGGTCGATCCGAATCGGAAGGGTTCAATTGGGGGTCAAAGAAAAAACAGTTCTTAATAAGTAAATCACACATATCTAATTGAGTATGTAAAATTTGTGAATTTTTTTTATAATTGACTTAATATCAGTTTCTTTATAGAACATAAATTAATAAACGCATCATCAAAAACATGGACATCAACCTGCAAGATGAGTTTGCTGAATTATTATCGGATCTTGAAGCAAAGACGCTTCTTAAAAATTTAACAATGAGTAAATTTTGAACAAATATAAATATAATGCAAAAATATGTAGAACTTTATGAAATAGCTCAACCTTTTTATGCTAGCTTTTCCAAGTTCCTTTATGGTTGAAGCCGGTTTCAGTCACGTAAATTCAATCTTAACTAAGTACAAAAATAAATTAAATGTGGAGTTACGAGGGGATTTAAAATTAAAATTGACCAATTTTGAACCCAATATAGCGAACCTTTCAAAAAAACACCAGGCACACTCATCTCACTGATTAAGAAGCAATAAATCTGTAGTTACTTTAATTATTATTTCTATTTATTTATAATTACTTATTATTTAATAAATATTAAGGTATTTAAATTTCAACATAAATGTATTTTTCATAAAACTATTGTTACACAATGTACTATTACTTTAATAAATGTTTAAATCATAAAATACATGTACCAACACAGTATCTAATAGTTTTATCTTAATTAACAGAAAATTACTTTTATGGGGGTCGATGGAGATTTCGAAAAATTATATAGGGGTCGATGATCAAAAAAGTTAGTCGACCTATGCTTTAGAGGAAGAAAAAAAAAACTTCAATAGATAACATAGTTATTATTTTTAAATCCTAGAGAAATCTAGAACATTAGTAAATACTTGTAAAAAGTTTTGATAAATTGTGAAATTACCAAAGTGGCCACAGAGCTGAGGAATATTGTTTAATTTTATGAAGCTGGAAAAATGTGAAATTTTTATCCGAATACCCAAAAATTATGAGAAAGTGTTTAATTTCGTTAAAAGTACGAAAAGTTCAAAATTCCCCCCCTAGAAATAGTTGCAAGCTGTGAAAGGAATTTTCTTATCGTTATTTTAGTTCATTGTATATTAAACGCATAGATGTCTACAAAGAAAATTGTCTTAGTAATGTAATATTTTATGCTTAATTTTTACGAAGTTACATATTAGATTTATAAATTTATGTATTTTTTTAAAATAATTTTAGAAGTATTTTAAGACAGAAAGTTGATATTTTTTAACTAGTAAATAATTAAGAAATTTTATTGGTCTATGCTATGTTTATTAGAAGTTATTGCATAGTCGATATTATTTATCTTTTCTTGTAATTAAAAAACAATATTTTCTCTTGGAAATGTGAGATAATTTTCCAATAATTTGTGAGCTCTCAGTTAATCTAACAGTAAATGTTGCCTTGATATGTTTAATAACAGCAACAACTAAAAATGGGGTGTCCTTTATTCTCTTTTCTGCCATCTACCTGAATTCCTTAATATCTGTTCTGTGATATTTGATAAATATCTATAATTTTGCATATTCTACATTAAAAGAAGATTTTAGGCATTAGACAAAGCTTGTTTCCACATGGTTGCCACTGCCGACTGAAATGGAACTAACTTCTAACGAAATTAGAAGGGGTAAAACTCCAAGAACGAAACAAACTGAACCCTGGAAATTTTGTGTAACCCCTTTTACTGAACTCACTTTCCTTTATATTTTTAGTCAAAGGGTAGAGATAATTGTGTTCCATACCAAATATCCAGTTTTTTCCACTTCTAAATTTTTAGGAAAAATTAAAAATTCAGCTCCTTAGATGTAAAATTCACTTTTTCTTATTGTTGATAGCCCGATATTCTGGATGTCCACAAGAATCTTTTTTTGTTTGTTATCTAATGTTTTGTTTGTTAATAGCTCCATTTACTAATTACATATCTCAATTTAATCTGGTGTGCTCATGCAATCTCTGAATTCTTGCATCTTTGCAAAGACGCAAATGGTTGCAGGTTCAAATCCTACTCTGGGCACCTATGTTTCTCTGTGTGAATTTGACCCACCCTACGACAGGTATCTGTGGCAGTGTGATGTAAGTAATATTGCTGCCTACGTGACTGGTTCACAGGTGTCCACCGCGTAACGATAAATAAGCAACACTTCTGGCATCTTCTAAGGTTAAGAACAGAAGTTCATTGCCTGCCATTATTAAAAGAAACATACATTCTTCTGCCAATTACGTAAAGAATTACGTCCTAAATGATTCTTTTGCCGAATTGATTGCTATGGTCTGTTAGATTTTTGCATAATTGGAACAACGCTGGAATCTGCTAATATCACGATTCTTATTCGTGTGATTTTAATATCAGACATCGATCCTCGTATTCCGATTTAAAAACTATTCGTTGCGATTCGTATTCATGTGATTTAAAAATTGTACATAGCAATTTCTATTGTCGTAATTGACGATTAATTTCTATTGACGTAAAAATCCTATATCGCAATAATTTGTATTTATGCATTTTTGAAGCCCAATATTGCAATTCTTACTCACCCGAGTTTAATATTTAATACCGCGATTCGTATTCATGGATTTTTAAACCCCAATATTGCGATTCAAGCTCAAATGAGTTTAAAATCCAATGCCCTGATTCGTGTTCACATATTTTTAAAATCCAATGTTGAAATTCATATTCAAACGTTTGAAATATCAAACATCAATTTTTGAATTTTTATGATTTAAAAACTACGCATTGCGATTCATGTTCATATGATATAAAAATTACACACAGTGATTCATATTTGAATGATTCAAAAATTTACTATCCCAATTTGTATTTTTGGGTTTTTTACATCCAATATCACTTCATATTCATGCTATATTAAAATCCAATATCGCAATTCATGTAAGAAATAAGTTTTTTCTTGAATTAGTTAATCTGAAGATGTGATATATTTTGCATTAGTAGGTAAAAGTTCAAAAAATTATGTTAAATTTGAAACATTTATGATATATAAGTTGTTGTCCATTTTTTGCATATAAAATTTTCAGGGTTTTTCACATCATGCTACTACTATCACCTGATATTAGCAGAATTTATAAATTTTTCATTGGGACTTGTATTCCGTATGATTTATGTTCACTTGATTGAAAAAACAAATATTGTGATCCGCATTAAAGATATTTTAAAATCTAAATTCATTATTCATATTCACACAATTCGTTTTTAGGAGTTTATTATACCAATTCACAAATAAAAAAGAAAAGTAAGTTTGGTGTCTAATCTTTTTGTAAAACCTATTAATATTTTTTTTTTCAATTTTAATATTCACATTGGTAATTAAATAATTTTTTAACCTCCTTTTTCTTTTTGTATTGCTAAAAGATTACTAGTATAGGCATTTGAATTTCAAAAAATTATTTAGATTGTGTTTTCCTGGTATTTTTATTTGTAGATTAACATATGCTTTCCTGGTTATTTTTTATTTTGAAATTCTGTGTGTGTAACCTTTTTTACACACTTGAAAATTATTCAGTTACTAATATTTAATACCAGGTAATTTTTCTATTTAATATAAAGCCTTGCGTAATTAAGTAAATTATACATATAACTAGCAATATCTGTTCAGAAAAAGTTATATTTTTACTAATGTAATTGTGTGTTATTTATTTATGTAGTGTATATTGCATTTAGACTACAAATTTAGTGATTTGACTGTTATTTTGGTACTTTTAGGCTATTCCATAGGTTTAGTTTGCTAGGAAACAATTTTTGACCACTAGAGGGAACTATTTTTGATATATTTTTCGTAGCAGCCCTGTTTTTACATTTTAAGCAAAAAGAAGTGTAAATTTTAAAACTTAAAAACAACAGATGTACACTATCATATTATGTACCTTCATAAACTTACTAACCATATAATTTTATTGCTTTGTTTGTTTGAGAAAAAAAACCTATGTACTTAGTTGTTAATCTAAAGTCTAAAATGCTGTAGAAAAATGCATCTGAATTTAACGTCAAGACTAATGAAATGTACTATTCTTCATCAGAGTGATACTGACTACAGTTGCATGATTGAATCTAAAGATGTGAGTAAAGTTGTTAAATCAGGACATCTTCCTAATGGTAACACAACTGCTGAGCACTGTGACCGTTATGCAGCAGCTGGATATGCTCAGCATCATCCTCAAACACACATGCAGCCACATTCCGCTCCTCCTCAACTTGGCTGTAATCACGCTGTGCATACTCCTATGGTATCTGTCCCAAATCAAGTAAGCCACTGATTTACTTTTTTTGAAAGGCTTATATAAATATTTCTCATGTATTTTTTAGTGTTTGTCATTAAAGCAATTCTACTATTTACAAATGCGATATTTGTAGATTTCAAAAGCATTTAATAAAATAAATGAAAAATTAAGCTGCTCCAATAGTTTTTGTTTAAATAATTTTTTTATTTTTATCTAGAACTTTTAGTAACTTTCAGAATTCAAGTTTTTTTTTATTTTTTTATTATTATAATAATAATCTGACAGTTACAGGTGTAATAGATTATGTTACTAAGTTTTTAAATTTTTTAAATATATTTTAACTTATAAAAGTTATTAAAAATTGCTGTGAAAATAAATTACTCCAAACGTTATTCAAATTGCTTTATTTATTGACTTTATTTGTTTTGCATTGTATTTCGAAATGGAGTTGCTGCAGGGTTCTCATTGATTAAAAGAATCTGATATGGGGAAGAAAAAAGAGAGAAATTTTTGCCAGAACCTGGAAAAATCCTGCTAGAAACCTAAATGATATCCAAAATCCACATCAACTCTAAGGCTTTTATTTGGTATGGAGTAAATGAACTGAAACTTAACTGAGGCACATTTCACCATAGCAACAGTTCTGGTGGCTAATTTCTGCTCTATTCAAGATTTTCCAACATGATCTTTAACTTAAGCTTAAATTTGTTTTAATAGGAATTTTCAAAATGCTTATTTGGTAGTAAGTAGCTTTGAAATTTGCATTCCTGATCTAATAATAAAAAGTGTTATTACTCATGTTTAAAATTTTTATTTTTTTTGTTGAATGATTCATGAGATTAAAAAAATGTTTCTTGCAGAATATGGGAGGAGCTGCTCATTGTCTCCCCCCTCCTCCACCCCCACCCATGCCTCCATGCGCATCTGCATCAAATGACCCTTCACTTTCGGCTATGCTTGTGTCATGGTACATGGCTGGTTATTACACTGGATTGCATCAAGTATGTATTTGAATTCTGTTATTTTTAATGACTTAAAGTTTTTTTTATTGTAATTATAAAATAAGTTTTCAATGAACTATTAACTTCTCCCCTGATTATCTTGGGATTGTATGCATAGCAATTCATTATTATATCAGAAAAATTTAAGAATAACCAGAAATTGCAGATTTACTTTGCATGTTTTACTAATGTTTTTAATTTTTAGTGGTTTGTTATATTTTTGAAATAACTGGTCTCAGGCTGGGCATGCAGTATCAGAAATGATTAAAACTCATATATTATGTTTTGTTTCAGATCCTTATATTTAACAATAAAAACATGTACTTTTTAAAAAATAAAATTGGTAAGAGAACAGTTAAAATCTCTGGAAGTAGTTCTTACATAAAAATTAATCCTGAAACCTTCTGTATCAAGGGTATAAATGCCTGATGAACACTTATTTAATGATGTACAAAATATTAACCTAACTCATACTAAGAGCCTTTTCTTTTNCGGGATTTATATTCACATGGTTTACAAGTTTAAAAATCGCACTTTTCTGTCAAATTTTTGTTTATATATATATATATTTTTCCTTTTTTTTTCTTTCTTTCTTTTTTTTTTTTTTTTTTTTTGTTTTTTAAGAGNATATTGATTTTTGGATTTCCTCTTTTTTACATTCTGACTACTCTCATCCCTGAAAATGGATAAGGGAACTTGTGTAAAAGCTTGCAAAATGTTCAGTAAAAGGATTAAAGAATGAATATCTAGTTAAAAAAATCATTTCACAGAGAAGGGATACCTATATGTCCACTTTAAGGTTGTTTTTCAAAGAGATAGAGGGGAGAAAAATTTTCAACCTGATATTGTAGTACAGTAGGGAACCGATTATCCGGAATGATCAGGACCATCGCTATTCCTGGTAACTGATTTTTCCGGTCTTCTGAATCGCTACAAAAAACAGTCTTTTTCATTGTTAAACCCAACTAAAAAAAATATATTTCGAAATAAACTTAAAAAGAAGAAAAAACGATTGAGTAATACACTGATGATTATTTCCAAAATGATGGTAAGGTAAACATCTTACAAAATAGAAAGAAAAATCCTAAAATCTTATGAGGAAAAAAAATTTTTTTTTTAAAAAATGGCAGGAAAATTTATCGAATTTCGTTCTGGTTTTCTGTTTTCGGGATAACGGGTTCTGTACTGTACTTGATAAATTTTTAAAGCCTGAAAATCTCACAGTTTGAATTTTTTATTAACTTTATTTTTCGTGTTTGGGTTCGAGGAATAGAAAAAAAAAGAGTACAGATAATAGTTTTAATTTTTACGGATAAGATAAATCAAATTTATCCCTTAAGGAAATCTCGTTAAATCTATATGAGTCATTACAAAAAAAGATTCAATATTTTGCTGTGCAGGTTGCAAGATAAGAAAAAAAACGAGGGTGGCAGTTAAAAATCACTGTTCTATATCCTCATATTTATGTGCATTTCTTGCCTCAGCTAATGTTTATCTTGTTCAAATTGTGAAAATTTTTCAACAAACATATTTATTATTCACCTTACAATTAGTTTAATTATAAGGTGACTTTCTATACATAGAGCATCACAAAATTGTGTATAAATGCTAAGATAAGGAGTTGCAGTTTTCTAAATGTAATCCAAATATAAGGGGTGAAAATCTTCCTCGAATCTGTGATTTTCTATTTTTTCTATATTTCTTTAAATAATTAATCCTCTCCAATGAAAATAATTATTTGAATCACTTTACTTAATCAAAGCTACCAACTTTCTAAGCTTTATGGGAAAAATTTCTTCTTGTGGTATATTTTAATGTATGATTTTCTGTTTTGTAAATTTAATTTAAAATTATTTTAAAGTTGTTTATTTTCCACACCACGGCATGCAAATGTGTCAAAAGTTCTTATAATAAGACACTTTATTTCAGCTCTTTCGTAGTGAAGTCTTAAAAATGCTGCTAAAAATATTAAAAATTCTGAAAGCTTTAACTTTTAATTGTCTACCAATCAATAAAATATTTTACAACCCTGCTTATATAGCACTCTTTTAACTTCCTCTTTTATGAGGTTTATTATTTTCTTCATTTTTTATATTCCTCCATTTTTGTGTTGAATAAAGTATTTATTCATAGTTACTTAGCTCTTCCTGTATATGTATCTCTGCTTGCATAAAAATCTACCAGCTCTACTAAATTTTCCTTCTTTGTCTCTGGTTTTCACCTGAAATACAGTGAAACCTCCAGAAAAGACCTCCTCTGTGTGGGGATCTCCTCTATTTAAGATAACTTTTGGGAGGCACCGAATTTTTTTCGTAGTCTTTATTTTGAAGAAAACCTTTAGGAGAGATCATCTATCTCCCAGCAACTAGGCGAACCTCTGCACTAAAAATGGAAAAGGTCATATAAGGAAACACAAAACTATATCAAATAAAAAAATTTTAACAGAACAAGTAAATTAAAATTTATTTAAAATATTTTTGTGCAGTTGTTATTTAGAGAGCTCTTTTTGACGATCTCTGAAAAAGATCTATTACCTCCTCAGCATGTTGTTGTCAGAGTGCACTAAAGGTGATGCTATGAATTATTTATATTTAGATTATTATGATTTATTTCAAAGTATTATTATCAAGCATTTCAAATAAACTTAACTAATTTTTATTAAATAAAATTAAATGCTAACTTAAAAAATGAAAACATTATTCGTTTCAGATAGTTCTATCATTCATAATTGGCTTTTACAAATAATTAGGGGGCATTTTAATTGAGGTTAAGAATTATTAATTGATACGTGAATGAAGCCTACATGCGTGGCACTTCATACCAAGAAAATGACGCTAATTAAAATTGTGTGCCTTCGATAGCATTTTGAAGTCAATAGAGTTAACCCCTAAGAAAGACCAACCTTCATTAACGACCATTTTACTGTGGAGTAGACAGTGGTCGCCTCAGAGAGGTTTCGCTGTTTTAAATTTTTCTGACCTTATACTTTTTAATGATGAATTTTTTATTTTATTTTCAATAAATTAAACATATTTATGAACCTAAGAGAAATCTGTCTTTGGAGAAAGTTTATCTGTTACTTCTATAAATTTTATTTTGTCTTCATTAATAGTCTGGTCAATATTTTTTGCAACTGTCTCAAATGAAATAAATGTTTCCACTAACTGCTTTAATTAATAAATTTGCTGGACACAAAATAATTTTTTTCAAGCACAACTTTCTATTTTATTTCACATAATTCTCTTTATTTATTTATTATTTTTTTTAAATCTTATGGTTGAAATTTGCCAAAATTAAAGTTTTTTGCAACTGCAATTCTGTAAGCGTACACACTTTTAACTTCTCTAAAATTATTGTAATTCTTTTTACAGTGATTTATTAAACGTAACATAAAATTGGTTATAAACCTCAGGGTTTATATAAAACATTTGTGCCAAGTGTCCTCGATAAAAGGACATTTACTATTTTTTTAAAAGATGAAAGTGGTTCATTGCTAAAAATAATTTTGCAGGAACAAGGTTTTTCTGTCTACAGTAATATAAATGTTGCTAAATTGGTTCTGAAATTAGGCTTGTTACTTTTTTAGTTAAAGTTGTACACGACAGAAAGAAAAATCCGCTAGATATAAACTAATATGTACTACCTGTCTTTTCAGATAGTAGTTTTTCATATGTAGTCATCTTTTTGTGCCTGGGCACAAATGGGTAAAATTAAAAAATTGTGCTGAATAAATTATTTCATAATTCAACTACCAAATAATGAAAAATATGTAATACTCTGCAAAAAAAGGGGGGGACGAAGCAGATAAGTGATTCTTTCAATCGGGTTATTCTTTAATCAGGGAAAATAACATGAAGCCGTCACATTAATATAGATATGTTTAATGTAGTAGAATTGTTTTTGCTTTCTCTTTCATTTTTACATAAATTAATCTAAATTAGTTTTAAATATGCTAGCTTGATTTTTATTTTAAGTTAGGTAGTAGTAAATAAAATAAGACAAAGAATTAATAGCCATTCCTTCTAATTAATTTATAATTATGTACTTTGGAAACGAATTCTTTTTCTGTCTACTCTGATAGTAACTACTCTGAAAATGTCACCTCTTTCATCCACTTAGCTCTTAATTTATCAATGTCGTTCTTGAAATGTAATTTTTTAAGTAAAGAATAGTTACGTTCATAGTAGTAGTTTGAGTTGTACTTAATGCTACAAATTGTTATAACTAAGTACGTCAAGTTGAAATAATGAAAATGCTAATGGAAATAATCCTAGATGGAAAGTTATTGATGTAGGACTATACAATCCACCTGCTGAAAGAAATTTCACGGCGTTTGTCCTTCTTATTTCAAATATAATTATTAAATGGCCATTCAGTAGTGCTTGTAGTATATGTATTTAGTATATGTATTTAATATTTGACACTAAACATCCAGGTTTCTTTCATTCATTTAACTTACCAATTTCAATTTTATTTATTTTTAGAATCAGAAGACTTCCCATTGTCTTGCTGCTTCAAAACCTCATTGCTGTGGAAACCATGTTCCCAATCATTGTGGTCATTTCTGCTAAGTGCCAGTGCATATTTTAAACTGGCCTTTCATTATTTCATTTTCTGGTTCGTGTTTACCTAAATTTTGATGTTCACTGTGAAAAAATAAAACATTAATATTTGTCAGAATTCTTAATTTGCTTGGATTTTTGATTTATCTCTCCTCCTCATTAATTGAAATTTTAAAAAGGCTCCCCTCCCCTGTTGTATCAAATGAATAAAATTGTTTCATTATTTATCATTAAAACTTGGAAAATTAGTCATTGTGCAGATTATTCAATTTTTCTTTTAGTAAAATTTTGAGAACTTAAACTTCTCAAGGGTGTGTATTATCCTTCCAGGTCTGAAAGGGGGAAATCTAATGATTTTTCTGGGAATTCCGAGTTTCTAATGGCAATTATTTCTCGGAATCTATAAAAAAAAACTTATCGGACAAAATTTTCACGGAATTACTCAATCTAAAATTCTAAATGTAATAGTTTCGCCGATTCCCGCCAACGAGACTCTTACATACACGTGATTCTAAATCCGCTAATATCGCGATTCCTATTCGTGCTGTTTTAAGATCGATTTTCGTATTTACCGAATTTAAAAGTTACACGCCGTGACTTGTATTCATGTGTGGTTTTACAATCGTACATCGCAATTCGTATTCTTGGGATTTTAAAATCCAATTTCGCGGTTCATACTCACTCGATCTTAAAAATCCAACATCGCGCTACTACACTTGTGATAGTCATCAGTTGTAGGGGATCTAGTAATTTTAATTATTTTTTAAAAAAATTACTTTAAATATGAAACGTGTGGTATACAAATTGATATCCATTTTTTTGCAGTGCATTTTAATTTCGTCTCCATTAAAAATTCAGTAATTTAGATGCTCTTGTTAAGTGGCGTGATTGAGCTGTTAAGACCGTTGGCACCTTTCATATTAGGTAAATGTCCATGGAGGTAAGAGAGTGGGAAAACCTTAAAATCCCTGGAAAGTTCAGAGGGCTGATTCATTAGTATGAGAGATCAACAGGCTTTTAAATGGCTGATGGGGCCCTTCCATACATTTACAAACACGTTAATGCCGTTTTACGTTCTCGAAACTGTAGCCACTGTTGGAATACCATGAGAGTTTATACAAGAGGAATATTGACTGCTCATACAAGCAATGGATACGGCATTTAAAACAATATTGTCTTATTTTACGCCGAAATTAAATTTTAAATTACGTTCAAAGTTCTGTTTAATTACATTTAAAATTCTGTTTTTTATTTTTTTCAGTATTTACCAAAAATTTGTTTTGGCCTTAATCTTTTATTTAGTACATGGGCTAACGGAAATGTTTGGTAGACTAACGATTTCGAACAATCGACTATCGTTTGAAGGCAAAATCCTTACTTGTGGTTGCCAACTTCACAGACCTTATTTAAACGAATTAAAAATAAGTTTTTTGCCGGAATAACCTGGTTGGCAGGACACTGGACTCGTGATAACGGGAGTTCGATTGCAGCCGACCGAAGATTCCCGGTGTAGTAGATGGTGAGTGGTGCACGTTAAGTCTGTCGGGTCACAAAGTCCTCTACGTCCATTTATCTGAGCCATTTATCGTTTTATCTGAATAAATGGCTCAGATAAAACGATTTTTACATAAATATAATAATATTATAATGTCTCTCTAAAATGTATTTATAGAGATTTCGTCAAATTAATCAAATCAATTTAATCAAAGTTCGTAAATTGAAAATAATCGGGAAAAATTTGAAATTGGTATTTTGTCATTTAAAGTATGTCACAAAGAAAAAATTTCATGCTTGCGATTTTTTTCTTGCTTTTTTAGGGTGTAAAAAAGAAAATTCACGTAGAAATAGCGTGCCNCCCCCCCCCCCCCCCGAAGAAAAAATTTGTTTTTTTGACCGCCTAATTGACGTTTATTAGTAGAATTGCTCATATAGTCAGCCGAAATTTTTCGACCAAATTAAAACTAGCTAAAGTTCTCAAATTTCCACTCTATGCTATATAACAGTAAGTCGAATTTATTTTATTACATAAAGATATCGCTAGTAAAGAAATTTTAGCTACAATTTACATTTACTATATTCAATATTGTCAATACACCTTTCAAATTACTTCATTATTTCAAAGGAGACATTTTAATTAAATGAGGTGAAACCATATAAATGATTAGAAAATTTAAGAACCACATAATTATAAAATCATATTTCATGTTCCTATTAAAAATGGGGAGTTGCAAGTAAAAGACATAATTTTATAAATAGCATTATCTTGATTTTACCCTCGGTTTACAGAAATGCCAACTGCTCCGGACAAGCTAAAATAATTTAAAAAACGGTAAATATATACAATTAAAATTTGAAAATATTTGACCAATTTTTAAAAGGATTAGCATGAATTAAATACAGTAAAGTGGCGAATTATATAAGCCTTCGAATTATTTTGAAATAGTAGTGGATAAAAACCTAATAAATTAAATTTATTAAACCAAGAAACACCAATTAATAAACTACCACCCGAAAATATTAATTCGCTGTCCGGAGCAAGTTGGCTTCTCAGTGTTTATAACTCCCACATTATACATTTTTTTAAAAATATTCAATAAAATATATTTTAATTTCTACGTATAGTTTTTTTTTTAATTAAATTAAAGCCGTAAGTAAAGAAGAGTTGCATTCATGGAAGTTTTTTTTTTTGGGGGGGGGGGNGGGGGGGGGGTATGAAATGAAGAACTTCCTTGTCAACAATTTTATCTCGTTCCCAGTTGCGTCAAAATTGGCATAATATCGGTCCTATATTTGGATGTCTAGATTTTTTTATCAATGGTCCTTCAGAGCAGTGTTCCCCAACCCGCTAGCCGCCCATTTCATTGAAACTGAGTTTAAATTCCTAGTTTTATTCCCCAAATTAAAAATATCTGCGTTCCATTAAAATTTTATTTATTCGATAAAAGGGGGCCCGAAGGTAGTGACATAAATATTTTAATGTTTTAAAAAGTAAAAAAAAACACCGCAACTATTTTCTCTTTCAATTTGTTTTAATGAAAAAATCAATCTTCATAACTGTAAATATCATAAATTAAACACGAAAGCGCTTTGCGAAACTTACATTGGAACTAATGAAGAACAGCAACCAAAACAAAGCAACGGAATAAACTGGACAAAAGCAACACACTTCGGGTGTCATTGTCTCATTGCAAAGAAACAAGCTCAGGGATCTCATTGACTTAACGTTCTAGTAAGTTAAAANGGGGGTATGAAATGAATAACTTCCTTGTCAACAATTTTATCTTGTTCCCAGTTGCGTCAAAATTGGCATAATATGGATCCTATATTTGGATGTCTAGATTTTTTTATCAATGGTCCTTCAGAGCAGTGTTCCCCAACCCGCTAGCCGCCCATTTCATTGAAACTGAGTTTAAATTCCTAGTTTTATTCCCCAAATTAAAAATATCTGCGTTCCATTAAAATTTTATTTATTCGATAAAAGGGGGCCCGAAGGTAGTGACATAAATATTTTAATGTTTTAAAAAGTAAAAAAAAACACCGCAACTATTTTCTCTTTCAATTTGTTTTAATGAAAAAATCAATCTTCATAACTGTAAATATCATAAATTAAACACGAAAGCGCTTTGCGAAACTTACATTGGAACTAATGAAGAACAGCAACCAAAACAAAGCAACGGAATAAACTGGACAAAAGCAACACACTTCGAGTGTCATTGTCTCATTGCAAAGAAACAAGCTCAGGGATCTCATTGACTTAACGTTCTAGTAAGTTAAAATGTTTAATCACTTAATATTTATTTTTTGGTGTAACTGTATTTTGTTTTGAAGGTATGTTTAAATACAATTAAATTAAAATTAATAAATCAAAATAATCTAAAATATAAACAATCAACGCCCCCACCCTCCAACTGACCGCGGTAAAATTATCAAACGTTGTCAGGTCCGTGGTGGCAAGAAGGCTGGGAAGCACTGCCTTAGAGGGCCAATATATGGTCTATATTGGTTGAATAATAAATGTAAAATTTCAGATGAATCTAAGAATTCAATATTGGTTAAAAAGTGGCTGTAAAATATTGGACAATTCCATATAGGGTCTATGTCGAAAAATAATGGCCCCTCGAACCCTTATTGAGGTTAGATACTTGAATATTTGTCCAATGAAGGCCCAGGTTTTGCTTTTAGGGTTATGAACCATTAAAGCTGTCTTTAAATAAAATGCATGTACACAAAAAAAATTATTCTACTTCATATTATTTTATTTCAACTTCGAGATGGACAGTTACACAGGGGCCGAGCGGTGTCCCCCGCCAAAGCGTGTGTGGAGATGGCGGGTTCTTCTGTGTTGTGCTATCTGTCCTTCAAATGTGTGACAAAGGTTTATAAGCCTTAATTGAGCACATAAGCCTGCAAATGTATGTTGTACCAATAAATAAGACAGTTACAAATGAATTAAAAGAAATCTGCTAGACATGGTAGGACTTAAAGACCCACAAATAAAGGAAGATGAAGAACAGTGACAGTCTCTTATGCTCAGATTGGGGTAAAGAGGAATATTTTATGTCTTCATTTTGTTACACACTTAGTGTCATTTCCTTGAAAGTTAATCATTCAAAAATGATGAACTTACTTTAGACAGTAACGCCTACTTTTTCTTCTACTCTTCACTCCGCAATACAGAGAGCTTACGTATGGAAATTACATTATAACCGAAAGTTAAACGACGAACAACGTGAATAAAATTTGATTCTCAAAATTATATTGAAGTCTACAAGGATAAAATTATTAACATAATTTTGGAAATCCTTAGCAGTTTGAGAATTCTCTTTTTTCTCGACACTTCAAACGAAAAGGATACTAAGAAATACTGTAATTTGGGAATCAATATGATTTCTCTACGATCTCTAAAAGCTATTGTTTTCCTTGCATTATTATCAATGAAACCAAGCGGGCAAGAGTCTCTTAAAAATAGTATAATAATCAATTTTCATTGAAATATGAAGCGCGCATTTACCTAACTAAGCTATTTTCATATCTACCAGTAACAAACTACATCAAATTTCATAAATGTTTATAAATCTTTAAACGATGTTCGTCTGTTGTATAAAGGTTTAAATTTAT